CTGGCTGGGCCCTCACCGCTAATGACAGGTTTGGGCTGCCTCTGCGGCCCATGGGCCCCAAGGCCAGACAGGACCCCCCAGGGACAGACAGACGGACACACACAGCCTGGGCCCTGCTGACATCATACCCAGCCATGCACCACCTCACCAGGGGCTGGTACAGTGGCCGGGGCCCCCTGGCCAGCCCAGGGTGTCTTCCGGAACCCCCGTCTGGCCTCCCTCGCACCGGCCTTTCCTGCATGGCTTCTCATCCCGGGTCTTTGTGGTCTGTCTCTGGCTCTGCCCTCTCATGGGATCTGTGCCTCATTTATGGCTCATGTCCCCCACAGAGGTGCCCGCATCCCACCTAGGAAAGCCCCCTGGGAGTCTTGGCCCCTGGAGGCCAGGGAGTGAGATCCTACCCCAAAACCCGGGGCAATGACCCCAGCAGGCAGCTCAGCCTCTGTCTCCAGAGCACAGGGGGTCTTGCAGATGCATGGAGAGCTTGAACTCCTGGATGTGGAGGGGGTTGTCTTGTGCCTGAACCCCCGCGTCTAAGGGAAGAAGAACAAGGTCTGAAAGAGGAAGCTGGAGTAGAAACTCCTGGATCTGAGGGAGGAGGCTGGGGTCTGGAACCCCTGGGTCTGAGGGAGGAGGCTGGGGTCTGCACCCCTGCATCTGAGGAAAGAGAACTAGGATCTAGACCTTGGTGTCTGGTAGAGGAAGAGGGCTGGGGCCTGGACCCCCAGGTCTGAGAAAGGAGGCTGGGGTCTGAGGGTGGAGGTAGGGAGTGAGTGCTGGGTGAAGGGGCTAGCACTCCACATGCTGGTGTTGCTCCCAGGCTGGCCACAAGCCCAGCCGGCGTCCCCTCTGTGCCGTCCATCCCCCGGGCTGGTGGTCTGAGTCACCTTGGCTGGCCCCACCACCGGTCTGGGGGAGCGACGTCAGCTCTCCCCTCATGACGCAGCCTCAGGCCCCCCACGCTGACTCAGCCGGAAACAGGCCCCTCTGACCCAGCGGTTGGAGGCCTGGGTCCCAGCGGGAGTCCTGGCTGGGGAGGCCTCTGGGGGCCCTCGGAGGGACGGCAGACCCAGGAGGGGGAGAAAGGAACGCTTACCTGAGTGGATGAGGTCATGTCCCACCATGGTGGGCCTCTGACCTCACCTCCCTGGCTGGTTGGCTAGGTTATTTTTTTGGGGGGGGCGGAGAGGCGAGGGGGGGAAGAAATGAACTTTGAACTCATGGCCCTGCACTGGAGCTGCACTCCCTGGGGCTTGAACTCTGGGCCTGGGTGCTGTCCCTGAGCTGCTTTTGCTCAAGGCTGGCACTCTACCACTTGAGCCACAACACGACTTCTGGCTTTTTCCATGTATGTAGTACTGAGGAATCAAACCTAGAGCTTCCTGCATGCTAGGCGAGCACTTTACCACTGAGCCACCTTCTTTTACAGTAGGCATCCTCGTTTTATTTGGGGGCAGTTCTGGAGTTTTGTTTTCTGGCCGCACTAGGGTTTGAACTCGATCTTTGCTCAGCTTGTGGTGTACTCTTCCACTTGTGTCCTGTTACTCTAGCTGATCCTGTCTCCCGGGGGACCCCAGTGGTCACCCTCCCTTGCCCCCAGCAGCAGAGGATGGGAATGGGGAGGCCTCCAGCTACCTCAGAATGCTAGGCCCTCAGCTCAGCTCAGCTCAGAAGCCTGGGAGGTTGGGCCACCCGGGACTCAGCCTGCCTGTCTTTCCCTGCCATCCACATCCCGGAGGCAAGGCTCCCAGGGATGAGGCTTGGTGTCTCTGTGGGCATCTGCCTGTGCGGGCACTTCTGTGTCCCTGACTCTGGGTGGGGGCCTCATCCAGGTCTAGCATCCCGGCACTGGTTTTGGGTCCAGTCTCCCCATCCTACCCCATCACTGTCCTCATCTTTCCCCCTCTCCAATGGTGACAGCTGTGTCTCTGGATTACTAATAAAATGTGTCTGTGAGAAAAGCGGTGGTCCTTTGTGTGTTACCTGGAGCTCTATTCTGCAGCACTGAGGTGGGAGGGCACCCAATACAGAGAGGTCCTGTCACAAGCCCAGATCCTGCCTCCCTGGCATGCCCTGATTCCTCTTCCTCTTGCTCCAGACTCTGTTCCTCTCTCGCCTTTTGTTGATGCTGGTTTTGTCTTTTTTTTTTGGGGGGGGGTCCTGTCGTGGGGCCTAACTCTGGGCCTGGGTGCTGTCCCTCAGCTCTTCAGCTCAAGGCTAGCGCTCTACCACTTGCGTCACAGTGTCACTTCCGGTTTTTTTTTTTTATGTGGTGCTGAGGAATCAAACCCAGGGCATCATGCATGCAAGGCAAGTGCTCTACCACTAAGCCACCTTCCCAGCCCTTGTCTTGCTTTTTTGTTGGTTTTTTTTTTTTGTGTGTGTGTGGGGGGGTCCAGTCATGGGCCTGAACTCTGGGCCTGGGCGCTGTCCCTCAGCTCTTCAGCTCAAGGCTAGTGCTCTACCACTTGAGCCACAGCGCCACTTCCCGCTTTTTTCTTTTTGCTTATGTGTTGCTAAGGAATCGAACCCAGGGCCTCACGCATGCAAGGCAAGCGCTCTACCACTGACCCACCTTCCCAGCCTCTTGTTGTTTTTGGTTGGTTTTGGTGTTTTTTGAGGAGAAAGCAGTTGTTTGGTTTTGGGGTTTTTTGTTTTTTTTTTTTTTTAATTGGTTTGGGTCTTGACCTCTGGGCTTGGGCGCTGTCCCTCAGCTCTTCAGCTCAAGGCGGGCACTCTACCACTTGAGCCACAAAACTATTTCCAGTTTTCTGGTGGTTTACTGGAGATGAGTCTCATGGACTTTGCTGCCCGGACTGGCTTTGAATGGCTATCCTCAGATCTCAGCCTCCTGAGTAACTAGAATGACAGGCATGCGCCACTGGTGCCCAGATGGGTTGTTTTTTGTTTTTTCTCAGTTGCAGGACTTCAACTCAGGGCCTGGACCAACTCAGGGCCTGGATGCTGTCCTTGAGCTGCTTTTGTTCAAGGCTAGCACACTACCACTTGAGCCACAGCACACATATGCCCCCCACACACACACCCTGCCCCAGCTTTTTCAGTGTATGTGGTCCTGAGGAATCAGGGCTTCATGAATGCTAGTCGAGCACTCTTACCACTGAGCCACCTTCCCAGGCCCAGGTCCTGAGCTTTTTTGCTGAAGGCTAGCATGCTACAGCTTTGAGCCACAGCACCACTTCTAGTTTTCTGGTGGTTCACTGGAGATGAGTCTCATGGACTTTCCAGATCTCAGCCTCCTGAGTAGCCAGGAATTATAGGCAGGAGCCACTAACGTCTGGATTCCACCTATAGCCGTCTCTCCCCGTCCCTGCCCGCCGCTGGGTCCCTGTCATCTCAGCATCCTCGGCTGCTAGCCGCCTTCCCCCTCCATCCTCTGCGTGGGCTCCGCGCGCTTGTCAGCAGCCTGCCTCTCCTGCCCTGTTCCCTGTCCCACGTCCCGATCCCCGTCCTTGGCGCGGGGGGGGGTCTCCCGGGTCTCCCCGGGCCACTCCCTGTGGGGTCATATCGCTGGCTCTCCCACCTTTGGGGCTGATGGTGGTGGTCTGTCTAGTGCATCCCGTCTGTCCTTCTGCTCTCCGCCTGTCCTGGCCCACCGGGCCCCCTCTCCCCGGGCTGGGCCCCTCCGCCAGCCCCCTGGCCGCGTGCGCCCTGGCGGCGGGGCGCGGAGGGAGGGAGGGGACGCCATGACCTCACCGCCCTCTCCGACCCCCCCCCCCTTTCCACTTTCCCAACTTTTCCTCCGTGCCTGCCCTCCTCGGCGCGGCGCGGGGCCGGCCGGCAGCCGGCGCGGCGCAGTGGAAAAGGCAGGAGGGAGGGTGAGTCAGGATGTGTCAGGCCGCCCTCCGCGCCGGCCCCCCGCCCGCCGTCCCGG